CCCTCTGCCAACCATCAGTCTTTTCTCTGTATCCATGAGTCTGTGTCTGCTTTATCTATAGTATTCTTTAGATTCCACATATAAGTGAAATCATAGGGTATTTGTCTTTCTCTGACTGGCTTATTTCATTTAGCATACATAATACCCTGTAGGCCCATCCATGCTGTTGCAAAAAGGTAAGATTTCATTCTTTTTAATGGCCAAGTAATATTACATTGTGAATATGTACTACAGCTTTTTTATTCACTCATCTATTGATGGGCACTTGGGTTGCTTTCACACCTTGGCTGTTGTAAGTATCATTGCAATGAACACAGGAGTGCATGTATCTTTTCGAATTAGTGTTTTGGATTTCTTTGGTTAAATACTCAGAAGTGAAATTGTGGATCATAAGGCAGTTCCATTTTTAGTTTTTTGAGGAAACTCCATACTGTTTTCTATAGGGGCTATACCAATTTGCAATCCCTTGCAGCGCACAAGGGTTGTTTCCTTTTCTCTATCTACATTCTCACCAACACTTCTTTGTTAATTTATTGATAACCATTCTGACAGGTGTGAGGTAATATCTCATTGTGGTTTTAGTTTTCATTTCTCTTATGATTATTGACATAGAGCATATTTTCATATGTCTATTGGCTGTCTGTATGTCCTCCTTGAAATGTCTATTCAAGTATGCTGCCAGTTCTTTAATTGGATTGTTTGAGCTTTTTTGGTGTTAAGTTGTATGAGTTCTTTATAAATTTTGGATACTAATCCCTTTGCAGACATATCATTGATGAATATCTTCTTCCAATTGGTAGGCTGTCTTTTAAGTTTTGTTAGTGGTTTCCTTTGTTCTGGAAAAATTTTTTAGTTTGAGATGTAGTCCCATTTGTTTATTCTTTGTTTCCCTTGCCCAAGGAGCTATATCAGAAAAAATATTACTAAGAGCAATGTCAGGGAGTTTACTGCCTATGATTTCTTTTGGAGTTTTATGGTTTCAGGTCTTACATTTAGGTCTTTAACCATTTTAAGTTTATTCTAGTATATAGTGTAAGAAGATGGTCTAGTTTCATTAATAACATGGAACTAAATGAACTGATAAGAATGATTATAATTTTTATAATTTTTTTATATAAAATGTTGCTGGTGTTTGATCTTTATTTCCCAGACATAAGAAATTGTTTTCTCTTAAGTTACCTATGGCCTATGACAATTTGGTAAATTACACCTTTGTAAGTGAGGTTAAAACATTTATTTCTTCCTTCCTACCTGATCCCTCCAAAAGTTCAGGTACTCTTAACTAATCCATATATGACCAAATCTAAATGTGTTAATGCTTGGATTTATGCTTCCCATTTAAAGAAAGCTCTTACACCTAACACCTAACTGGATTGTTCAAGAAACAGATTTTTAAAATTTAAACTTTAAGAAGGTGAAGGAGATGACATCTGTTGTGGGCAAATATTCCAAGATTCTGGACCAGGCCTGTATAATCTACACCCTCATTTTTCCTTTTTTCCTCATTTTGGTTCCTTACTATCTCACAAATAATATGAGAAGCCAAACAGTTACCATAGTAGTTACTGTTTTCTTTCACCCCTTAATTTCTGATTGGAAAGATAACTCAACATTGGGTATCATCTTTAAAGCTACTTCACAGGTCAAAATGTGCAACTAGTTACACACATAAACAAGAATGTTTAATGCCTACATTTATAAATTGACAAGGATACTTTTATGTGACATATGGGTCACAGGAAAAAAATATTCTAGTGTGAATCAGAAAATATTTGGACATGGATGCTAATGAATGTACTCCATATACAAGCTTGGAGATTTGGCTAAAATATACATAAAGGGAAATTTATAGCTTTAATCCTTACAATTAAAGAGGAAAAAAGGCTGGAAATAAGGATCTTATAAGAACTTATCATATTGACAGGACAAATTCAAAGATAACAGAATAACACAATAGTATTTTACAAAATAAGTTTTTAAAAAGATAAAATGTAAACAACAAAGCTATAGTTTGTTTTGACAACCCTGTTTGATTCTTTGACCGTGCTATTTGATTCTTAACGACACTATTTAAAATTGCAAACACTTCCTAACCCAAGGCTGTGTTTAGGATGAGGGGAGTGATTTAGCTGACAAAATTTGAGGAGATACCCCCCAAAACTGAGAAATTAAGATATTTTAGTACATTTTTAAAAATCAAAATTAATACACATCCATAACCAAATACCAAATTTTAATAAAGACAATATCGAACACTGAACTGATACAACCCTGAAAATAGCGCCTCAGTTGCCTCACCCCAATCCTGGCTTTTGGATTATGTAATAGCTGTGCTACGTGACATGTTTTTAAAATTTAAATGGCAAAGCTTCTAGTATACTGTTCTTAGTTTAGGGTAAACATTCCTCATCATGTTATAAAAAAGTACTTGACAAAAAAGACTAAATTTTACTGCATGCCTTTTTGATATATATGGTGATTATTTGGTTTTTCTTCATCAATAAGTGATATCAACTACAACATTCCTCCTAATAACTGTCCTCTCTTGCACTTTTGTTATGATAGTCATGAAGTATTTTAATGAAATGTTGTAGTTAATTTTCAAATATTTGTATTCGGTGTCTGCATACATACGCGTGACATTCAACTGTAAATTTCTCCTAATGCTCTCTTTGTGAGGTTCTAGTATGGTTTTTGTAGCTTTATAAAACGAAATAAGAAAATTATCTTCCTCTATTGTGCTCTGAAATGGTTTTAAAAAAACACAAGAATTTTCCTCTATCTGAAAGTTTGGTAGAAATCACCTTGATAAGCAACATTTATCAATTCCTTGGAGTTTTGCCTGGAAATACTGGTGTCTGTTGTCTGAAGGATAAGATGCTTACTGCAGCCCAAGGCTGCTGTGTGAAAGGAATGCCACTTCTGATGCGTACAGTAGTTCCCCCAAACCCAGTTTTGAGTTTGGTGGTTTCCGTTACCCAAGGTCAACCATGGTCCAAACATATTACATGGGAAATCCAGACATAATTCCTAAGTCTTATATTGTGTGCTTTTCTGAGTGATGAAATCTCACACTGTCCCAACTCCATTCTGCACAGAACATGTATAGTCCCTTTGTTCACACTTTGTCCTTGGTGTATATGCTCCCCACCCTTAGTCACTTAGTAGTCTAGCCTTCTCGGTAATCAGATCATCGACTGTTGCAGTACCACAGTGCTTGTGTTCAAGTAACTCTTACTGGCCCCAAAGTGTGAGAGAAGTGATGCTGGCAATTCAGATATACCAAAGAGAAGCCATAGAGTGCTTCCTTTAAGTGAAAAGGTATGTATGTATAGGAAAAAACATACTGTGTATTGGTTTCTGTACTATCTGCAGTTTCAGGCATCCATCCACTGAAGGTCGTGGAAAGTATGCCCTATGGACAAGGGGTGACTACTGTACTTACTTTTCTGCACCTGTTCCAAAAGCTCGAGGCTAGCTTTCTCTAGCCAGCATGACTCTCATCACTGGGCATCAACCTCCGTTAGGACCTCTCTTCTAGGTATCATCTATGAGAAATGTCGGCCATATCCCTGTTCTACATAGATATCAGCTCCAATAACATTACCTATACAATTTCACATGATTGCCATCTGCCCCCTTCTAACTGCCCTGGCCCACTTTTTTCTCCATCCCTCCCATATTGTCTCAGGGGCTATTATATCAGCTGAGAGACTTTATCTCCTACAGACAGGGAGGAAAAAAAAATAAGAGTTTATAGTGGACTAAAGAATGCTACACATTTTTTCACACGTCCATCAAGCTTCAAGAAGTGACCGCCCTTGAATCTGGCTGGCCGGTACTGTTTCAACCAATGGAGTAAGACAGAATGACTTTATGCCGGTTCTGAGCCTACCTTTTAAGAGAATTGGCAACATCCACTTGGCCTCTTCAAACCCTGAACTCCCATTAAGGACTTTATATTCTCTGCTGGAGAGTCCATGTGGAGAGGCTCTAAGACTAGAGGGTGGAGGGGCCCAACCAAACCCAGCCTTCCAGCCATCCTCTCTGAGGTACCAGGCATGTGAATAAAGTCATCGTGAGGCTTCCAGAGCAATTTGGCTGTCAGCTGACTACCACCAAGGGACTCCAGGTATGTTCATGTGGAGCATAAGTAATGCTTAGCTGAACGCTTTCTGAATTCTAATCCACTAAGTCATGACATATAATGACATGGTTATTATTTGAAGCCACTAAGTTTTGGCAATGTTTGTTACATAGCAATAACCAAACCTTTTTTTTTTTTTTTTACAGAAAATTTTACTGCACCATGTTTTCTATCAAACAGAGGAACCTGTTTTTCACTCTAACCCCAATAATCTTTGTCTCCTTATATCTTAACAAAAGGCTACAGAAAATGGCCACTGCATAAGTGGACGCCCTTTTCTAATGAGACTAGTGATTCTCAAATATTAGTACACCAAAGAATTGCTTGGGAAGTATTAAAAATGCCAGTTCCTAGGACCCTCGCTCAGATAGTCTGATGCAGTAAGTTTAGTATGCGGCTCAGGAATATGCATTTTAAGAAACACCCAAGTAATTGTGACACCAGTGGTCCCAAGAAAGCACACAGAAAAGCATTCAATAAAACCTACCAGAGATGACGAGGCTGTGAACCAAGGCATGGCAGTGGGGATGAAGAGAAAGGAAAATGAGGTGCTCTTCCCTGGCCCCACCCTCTAGAAGCATTTCTAGGCTTCTCACATCTGGATTCTTAAGCTCTGCATCTCATTAAAAACATCATGGTACACTTCTCACAGAGCTTTATATTTTTCATTTTATTTTAGCCTCCCAAACTCCTATGTGAAGTATAACAGACATTTTACAGAGAGTGATTAACATATATCTAACAGACATCAAATGCAGTATGTCTGCGCACAGGGTATTGAAAGCTGAGACTCCTAGGCCTTGTCACTCCGAGGTCTGTCTTTTACTTTTTCAAGAATATCAAGTTCTTCAAATCAGAAACACTGCCACCAGGAGCCATCTTCTTCGTTATGGTCATTAAAATCATGCTTCATGACTAGGCGTGGGTTGCTAACTCCCACAGCTTCCAGCAGCTTCTGGGCTTCCTCATCAAATGCCTCTTTGTACAACCTGAGAAAACAAGGGAACATCTCTTCTGGCACTTAATTTTCCCACAGCCCTTTACTTTCTCTGGGAAATTTATTTCTATGGGGTAGCGGAACTGTTCTTTGAAAGTATAGAGAGAATACTAACATGGCTGGGGAGTAGAAAGGGAAACTGAGGGATATGCTGAGGGGGATACTACAGTTGAAGAAAAATAAAATATAGAAGAGAAAGGGATAAATAGATTAAAATTTAAAAGGATCCTCCAAGAGCCCTCCCCCCACCTTTTTTTTAAGTCAAGCAAAATAGTATTAGTAATGATGGTGAAAACAGGTAACATATACACTGTTTATTATGTAGCCACTGTTTTAAAGACCATCTATACTGACTCAGGTGATCAATCCTTACAATAAGCCTATGTGTAGATATTCATTTCACCCATTTTACAGAAAAGGTAACTGAAACACACACAGTCTGGGGACTAGCACAAGTTCAAATATGTAGTGAGCCGCAAGGCCCGAGTTCAAACTCAGGCAGTCTGGCTCTAGAGTTCATGGCTCTTAACCGCTATCCTACACATGTCTCTCAAAGTTCAGTGTTCTATAGGAGAAAAACAAATAAGGGCCTTGAAAATACCCGAAGATCCACAATCAGGTTGATCCGGAGGCCTGCAGTAAATGAGTGGCTCCCCCAGCCCCCCATCCCTGAAAACTTTCGCCCCAGGAAGCCAATGAAGACTTACCCTAGGACTTGTAGTTTACATTGGGTAGACCTCAAGACTTCACATAATTTCCTAATTCCTTCACAACCTAAGGTATTCTGTGTCAGGTTCATTTTTATCAGTCTTTGGTTGCTGCTAAGAGTAGAGGAGAGATCCTGACAACAGAGTGAGGTCAAACCACAGTATTCCAGCCTGCAGGGAAGAGAGACTAAAGATAAAATTAACCCATGACAGAGAGCAAGCACACAGGAGAACTGTGAGCTGGGAGTGGAGGATAACTAGAGGTTTAAAAAGATGAGTACAATTTAGGAGAAATTTAAGAAATGTAAGTACTTACAGTAATCATCATTCTAGATATTTATAGGCTGAATATATCCCTTCCAATATTGTGAATTATAAATTCATAATTATAGTCCAGGAAATAAATAAAATATGGAAGCACACTAAGAAAAACTATAAAGTAGTCGAATCCTTAAAGAGCATTAAAAACAGAGCAACATAAGTAGATTTTAGAAATACAGTATTGTTTAAAAAGTAAGGTATATAGTAAGGTCTCTAGCACCATGTCATTTATGCAAATAAAAATACATGCACAAAAAAAAAAAAAAAATCACATCTTTTACAAGGATACACACAATTCTATAGCAAATTTCAAACACATTACATCAGTTGCCTACAGGTGGGAAAGAGAATAGTTAGAGGAGATAAATTAACCAACTAACCAACCAACGGTCAATGGGCCCTTGCATAAACCAATGATACAATACTATGAACTAAGGAAATATGTTAAATTTAATCTTCTATACCTGATGATTCCGCCTAACCAACTAAGTGAAATTTAATTTTCACCCTAATGTTTACCTAGTCATTCAACAATTGAGTGCCTATATAGATAATGAGTATACAGAATTTTTTTTTTTAAAGTTGCTGCCCACATGGAACACACATTAACAGAGTGGATCAATAGTCCGACCACTAATTATGACACAAAGTGCACAAAGATCACATAAAATAAATGGTAGGGTAAAAAGTATTATAAAACATAAAAGATTATCAAGAATTCAGCAGGAAATATTCTAAATTTGTAGTTACTAATAACAGTTAAATAAGCTGTGGTATATTTACACGATGGAATACCACGTGGCTGCAGAAAAGAAGGAAATATTACCTTTTGTGACAGCATGGAGATTATTATGCTAAGTGAAATAAGCCAGTCAGAAAAAGACAAATGTCATATGACCTCACTTATATGTGGAATTTAATGAACAAAATAGAACAAAATAGAAACAGACACATGGATACATGGAACAGACTGACAGCTGTGTTGGGGAGGGGAGACTAGATGAAAGAAAGTGAAGGGATTAGCCAAAAATCATACATGTATAACCCATAGACACAGACAACAGTGTGGTGATGGCCAGAGGGAAAGAGGGGTGGAGACTGGGTGGAGGTAGACAAAGCCCGGCGGGGGGCGGGGGGGTGGGAGGGAAATGGACGGAAAGACACTTTGCTTGGGGTGATGCAGTGTGCAGATGATGTTTTATTTAGTTGTACACTTGAAACCTGAGTGGTTTTGAGAACCAATGTCACCCCCATAAATTCAATGAAAAAAATACAAGAAATAAACACAACTACAAAATGAAAAACAAATCTGCAATTATAAAGGAAATTTTAAACACTTTTCATAGTAATTAAATTATCTAGAAAAATATTCACTAAAAATATAGACGATTGAACAACAGGATTAACAATTTTCACTGATATGAAATACTGCGACCAACAGCTCTTTATATTCTTTCCAAGTGCACTGTTGAGCACATATAAAAACTGACTATATACTATGGCATGAGCAAATGTCACCTGATGTTTCAAAGAACTGAAACCACGTATGTTCTCAGACCACAATGCTAGAGAGTAAATATAAAAAGAGAACAAGAAACTGCTCTTATATTTGAAAAGCAAGGAATACACTTTAAAATAATCCATGGGTTAAAGAAAAAAATCATAAGGGCAGTCAAACAGCTTGGACTCAAAAATAATGACAACACTTCAGATAATATCAAAACTTGGAAGATGAAGTTAATGCAATGATTTGAAGGAAAATCATAACCTTAATTTAGGTCTGTGTTGGAAAAGAAGAAATATTTACGAGCTAAACATGCAGTTCAGGAATTTAGAAAAAGAACGGTAAAATAAACTCAACTAAAGTAGAAGAAAAGAAATAAGATAGGAACAATAATGAAACATCACTAGATATCTAAATCACTAGAGATGATTCAGAAATTAAGCAAATAATGGTACTAGACACTTGCCAATAAGTTTTAAAATTTAGATGAATAGATAAAAGCACAGGAATATTATTACTTACCAAGGTTACTCAGTAATAGAAAACCTATAGAAATGTATAATTATTTTAAAAATTAAATCAGTAGTCAAAAAAGTCACCACACAAAGGAACTTCAGATCATATAGCTTCACCAGAAATTTCTACAAAGCTCAAAAAAGAAATTATTCCAATGTTACACAATCATATGCCAAAACACATACCTGACTGGCTAAAATTTTAAAAATTAAGCCTGACAAAATTGCCAAGAGTAGACAACAGTAGGAACTCTTACACACTGGCAGTGGTAAAACAAGTTGGTACCATCTTTTTGACAGTATCAGATCAATTTGAAGACATATATTCCCTTATGACATAAGTCCACTCTGAATTATTTAACCTAGATAAATGTGTACGCATGTGACTTAGAATTCATGCATTAAAGTATTTATAGCATCATTCATTCATAAAAGAAAAAAAATGAAAACAACCCAAAAGTCCACCTTCAATATAATAGTTATTATAATTTTTGGTGTGGTCATTCGTCAAAATCTACAGAAATAAAAATGAACTAACTATACCTACATGAAACAACTGGATGACTCCTTTAAAAATGTTTTTTAATCCTCACCCAAGGACATGTTTATTGACTTTAGAGAGAGACACAGAAAAACACTGATGTGAGAGAGAAACATCAGTTGGTTGCCTCCTGTGTGTGCCACAACCAGGGATAGAACCTACAATCTAGGTATGTGCTCTGACCAGGAATTAAACCTGCAAGCTCTTGGTGTACGAGAGGACGCTCCAACCAACTGAGCCACCTGGCCAGGGCAGACCTGTACAATCATAACACTAAGCAAAAAAAAAAAAAAGAAAAAAGAAAAAGAAAAAAACACCAAAAACCCAAAACAATAATTGACACAGAAGAATACATAACGTATGATTACATGTATATAAAGTTCAAAATCAGGCAAAATTCCACTATATTGTTTCCATGCACTTGTGGCTCACTGTATAAAGTCAGGATAATGACGGCTTCTTGGGGAGAAGGCAGAAGTTGGGATTCTGAAGGGATGACTGAAGAGAATTTAGTTAGCCGGGAAAATTCAATTTCCTGATCAGGGTGTGGGTTACATACATTTTTCATTTTTTAAGTATCAGTTTTATTCTCTTTTCTGTATTTAGTTTATATTTCATAATGAAAATGCTTAAAATGTGATTCGGCAGAGCTTAAAAATAACAGGAGAGGAAAATAAAAGTAATGTTGTAGGATAAAAGTCACATTAGAAGGGGACAAGTGTATTTTCCCTACTGCTGAATGACTTGAGATGACCACCTGGCTGTGTTCACAGTGTTTTGGTCATGCTTCCCCTGGCAGTTTTCCAGTCACTATCTTATGGCATTGAAACTAGCTATAGAAAAGTCTGGAACCAGCAGATTCTTCCCCTTTCAGTGTCCTTATTTGTTAAAAAATACTTTTTATTTAGGCCTGGATGTCCACAGGTTCAATAATGTGTCTTGTGTTGACTTTTCTTTATTAATATTTTCTGGGGAAATGGTATGCCTTTTAAATCTGAAGACGGTGCTCTTTTGGGGGCGGGGGGGGGTAGGGCTTTCTATCTTTAATTTTTACTTATCTATTCAATTTTTTTTATTGTAGATTCACTAATTATGCTTATGTTGGATCTCTTGCTTGTCTTCCTTATCTGTAATTCTCTTTGCTCTTTTAAAACTTTTTTTTTTTTAAAAAAAAAGATTATATTTATTTATTTTTAGAGAGGGAAAGGGAGGGAGAAAGAGAGAAATATGAATGTGTGATTGCATTTCAGGCACCCCCTGCGGGGGACCTGGCCTGCAACCCTGGCATGAGCCCTACAATGGGAATCGAACCGGCAACCCTTTGGTTCACAGGCTAGTGCTCAGTTCCCTGAGCCACACCAGCTAGACCTAAAACTCTTACTTCTTTTGCTTGATTTTTTTCCCAATCCATCCTATATATTCCTAAGTGTATTTTTAGAAGTTGTGAAAATGCTGAAAAGTACTTTTAACAGATAAGGACAGTGAAGGGAAAGAATCAGCTGGCTTTGGACTTTTCTACAGCTAGTTTCAATGCTAGCATTAGGCAGTGGACTCTCTGGAAAACCCTCAGAAGAAGGATGATCAAAATAATATGAACATAGCTAAGAAATCTTTCAAGTTCACAGGAAAAGAAGATATTTTCAGATATGCAAAAAATCAAGGGGTATAGCACCCATGTCCTCTATTTCAAGAAAACAATGGGTCAATAGTCAAAGTATTCAAGGCACATTCCAAGGTCTCTGCCATCCACAAGTATCTGGTATTGTTGAGCTCTGGAACAGCCCCTCAGAATTAAATAAAAAACGTTTCTGACTCTACCTTCCTCACCAACTCCTGATTTACATACCTTAGCAGGGCAGTTTGCTCATATAGCTACCTCCTGAAATGGTTCACCTATTTTTGGCCACCTGTTGAACTATGATGAGGATGAAAGTGATAGAAGGTTATATGGAGCTATTTTGAAGTTTCAGGATTGCATCCTGACCATTCCTGGGCATGATGCTTTTCCTCCCCCAACAGTGACTCCAGGCCAGCCTGATTGATACATCCTCCAGGTGGCACACCAACAAGTGTATGGTGTTCAAACTTAGATCAGACACCTGGATTTCTCTTTTGGATTAACTAGGCCCTAAATCATGAGGATAATGATCATTTGACTGAGTACAATACTAGACACGAGCCTAGGCGTGGGGCAGAATGGCTTTCTGTAAAATCTGTGACATTGCTTTTGTCCCGCTTCCACCTAATCCTTATAGACTGAAGGTCTGGGTACAAGTGGGGGATGATCAGAGACACAGTGAAGTTACAGACACTGGAATAGGAAACACACCGACTTTATGGCTGGGGGGAAGAGTATACCACCAATACCTAGGAAGGAACACTTCAGAACCTGAGAGGTGCAGGGACCACAGGGAACAATGAAGACTCTCTCTCTCTCCCCCCCCCACCCCCCCCCAAAAAAAACCAGATCCAACAATGCTGCTTGGCAAAATAATTCCGTGATCTTCTTTCATCACAGAGCAGCTGTGGCTGGCAACCTGACCTACAGCCCAGTTGTCATGCTGCCTGCATGCTATGAAAACAAAACATCTCATGTAGATGTGGCAGGCCTTAACTCTTCTGCTGTTCCTGAAACCATTGGTGGCGGCCCCCAAGTGTGGACACCTCTCATGTGTTTACAAACACAACAACAGGTACAACCTTGTTTCAGTCTCACTGATATAAACTTCTGAGCTTCCTGTTGCGAGAAGAGCCTGGGGTAGGCCATGGATGGCAACAAAGCAGCTGTAACTACTCAGGGTCACTGTGCACCTGATACAAGCTAATTACTGCAATGGTGACCCAAGTGAAATATAACAAGAGATCCCACACTGCAGTGACCGGTGCTATATGTTACATGGTTGCATGTAGGGAAGTGTGGCCCATTGAATGTCTCTTTATTAGGGATGGGACTGCTTGTGACCCATCTTTTGTCCCCTTTATTTACTGATAATGACACCAAGATCAGCAGGTCGTTCTAAACTCCCTATTATGACTTATGATGGATATTAGGACATATTGTTCCTCCCTACGCCTGCCTCAATTGGCTGAGTCCAGGACCTTGAGCACACAGTGGAAATCAATACTGCAATTTGACCTCATCCTGTGCTTGGATTCCTATTGATAGTGGCTTTAATTAAATGCGAGACAAACTGAACACATTTGGTCCCGGTCCCTGTTTGTCAGATTAATCAGAATGGTCAATGGAGCGGCACAACCTTGTGAGAGTACACCAGAAGCCAAGACTGTACTGGGTGCTAAAAAGGAGTGGATGTTGTTGGGACACATTCATCTATGGGTCTTTAGCCCTTCTATATTTTTGCTGACAAAAATGAAAGGCCCTGAGAACTCTTTACCTGAGCTATTTCCTAGGATGCATGTGGAACAAGCAGCCTTGAGGGATGAGGTAACGTCTCCCCTTCCTGGACAAAGAGCAGGTTTGCTCACTGCTTGCTGTAAAATGGTGAGTCCCCCAACTCAATGTTCCTCTCTGAGGATACAAAGGGCTGCATGTGCAAGCATCCACAGTGGGACTTAGGGCACAAAGGAAACTCACAAACATGCCTAATGCTTGTAAGGCTATGCTACGAGTACTAAAAAGCCCTCTGTCTCTGATTGGATTCTGTGTCTCCTACCAGCAGCCATGAAACAGAAATAGGCTAACTTATTAGATAAGTAGGACAAAAATAAAATTCAGCCCCAACAGTTACAGCATCATCATTGCTGTGATAAATATATATAAACAGTCAATGGAAACACAGGATAAAGCAACACTTTTTTGGAAGATTCAGAGAGACATATCATAGTGTCTGGGCTTCCCACATGTAAAGCAAAATTTTTGACCCAGAAGTCGATAATTCATGCTGTATGATTAAAAATGTACTCTCCAATATTAGTTCAAGATTTTAAAAAGAAAATAAAAATATAAGCAATATTTGATTGAAGATAAGTATATAGAATATAGGATAAGATTTTATTAGATTGCAAGCTTCTTAAGAGCATTGGTAGAATTTTTCTAGATAGAAGATGATTAGTAAAATCTCAGATTTAATAAGAATCATTAATATAAGGCCAGATGGGATATATCTGAAGTATAATAGAATGTGAAGACCTAAATTAAGTACCATTTATTTAATACATACCCTGTCTGAGGTACTGAGAAGGATGCAAAGAAATGTGAACTATGGCTTTATACTAACATATATCACACATTGATCCATATATTTGAAAATCAGATTTTCATTTCTGAGAGTAACTTACGTTCTAACCCTGTCTATTTTCCATTCTCTCTCCATATAGTAAATTTCTTCTAGCTATACTAGCCGCCAACTAGCTATCATTTTCCTAATGGAAAACTGAACTCACCCAAGCCTCTGAATATTACAGTTTGGATGTCTCAAAGCTTCACATAGAATTTTGACTCCATCATCCTGCAAGTCATTGTTCCCAAGGTCCAGGCTCCTCAGGTTCGGGTTGTTCACAATAGCAGAAGCCAGATCCAGACAACATGCACTTGTGAGAACACAACCCATCAGTCTGCAAGGAATACAAAAGAAAAGTAAGACCTTTCGTTATGAGGCTTAATTAATTTATTCCTGGAAGAGATGCTCAGGTATTTGAGCCTTTTTTCAGACCCTTTTCTATCTATAATTCAGGATGCACATAGAAAGGTATAACATTACTAGTAGGAACAGATGGGATTTCTTGATTAGCAGAAAAAACAGTAGGTAAAACTGCTTTCTTCCAAATCAAGGATATGAACACTTATTCCTACCAATACTAAACGATATTATAAGCTTTTCCAAGGAACTGGTATCTATACTTTCTGTTTCTAATATATTTTTGATATAAAAATGCTTTTCAGGAATCTATCTCAAAGCGTTATCTCCAAAGAATCAAGAAGCTTATGCATAAAAAGGTATTTTTTTCCTGTCTTTCATAGGACATTCAAGAGCATTTACAATCTGGCCTGAAGTGTTCTCTTTCCCTCTTTTGTTCCCACCCTATTCTCCAACCATACTACCTGTTATTTTCCAAGTTTACCATACCTATCCTCATTCTCCTCCTCTTCTCTCTTCTTTCCTTCTGCCTAGGATAACTACACATAACAAAATCCCCTTCCTCTTTCAAACCGAAGCTGACCCATGTTTCCTCTGTCCCATTCCTTGCTCCTTGACACTTTTGTCCTACCCTTACAACCAAATATGGAATAGATTGGATCTGGCATTTATTTCCCTACTATCAGCATTTTATGAGTTACTTCAGGACAAACACAACAACATAGTAATAACATTTAGTCCCCTCAGCGTCTAGCTCATATTTGTTGTAAACAATGGTTGAGAGAATTGGCATGGCCTACAGAGACTATGAAGGTAACTAAGCAAGCACAAATTAGTCTGTATTTACAGCAACACTAAGGAGAGAAAATGGGCTAAACTAATACATTCTGTGTATACGACACTTAGAAATTATATCTCTGGAGCTGAAATAAAGGCATTGGATTTAGTGATAATTCCCATTAAGTAAAATTTTATCTTCCAATTGAATAATAATCAAGGAAATGTCAAGAAATTCATATTGTAAACCCACATCATATATAGTTTCCTAAAGGAAGTACAGGTGCTTATTGGACTGAATAATTCAATCACTGCAGTGTTTATAGATGTGACAAGTAAACTCATTTAAAAATGTGGCTATCATGAGTCAGTCCAGTCAAGCCAAACACCTCTAGATATACCAACAATCTTGAATTTATAGTTCTAAAAAAACAATGTTGGGGCTAGACCCTTAATGACCCATACAGGCTACTAGTCAGTCCCATGGGAGGCCCTAGTGGGAAAGTGAGCTGAGATTGCTAAGTGACACTTATATCTTGCTTCACTCTGCCTACAATATTCACATAATGAAATATTAAACATTGTGCAAGCATTAAAATAATCAGTAAGATAATTGTATGTCAGTGTTTAAATGTGTTTCTAAAATAGTGTCATGTGAAAAGGAAACCTCCAAGTCACGTCTACACAATAATCACAATTACACATACATATATTGTGTGTATGAATGCATACCTATTCACAGAGCAAGAGAGAACATAACAAGAATAAATGCAGTGTTGTTAAAGAATGACTGAACTGTGGGGTATTTAAAAAAATTCCCTTCCCAGTTTCTTTAAAAGTTAACCCAATTATAAAACTGAATTTTAGAAAGATAAACTAGTAGAGCACAATTTCAGCTTCCTGGATGTAAGATAAAGGACACAGCAGAGGCACTGGGGCACAACCAAGGGAAAAATAAAGTGTCTACTGTTCAGCCTGGTGGCTCTGGTCCTCCCTACCTGAGGGAAGTGACTGCAATTACTGTATTAATCGCTTAAAAAAGTCTGATGAACAGATTTTCCCAGCCAGACACCAGCAGAATGAAGGAGAATGTACCAGCTGTATGTTTGTTGTTTTTGTTTCTGATACTTAGCCTTTCTTTCCATACCTTCCTTCCCCTCACAGTAGTAGTTAAAGCTACACAAAAATAAGGTCAAAGAAGACCTACTCCAGGTCCTGAAGATTACAGCTTGGATGCCGAAAGACATCACACAGAAGCTTTACTCCATCATCTTGTAGCCAGTTTGACCCCAGATCCAGATGTGTCAGGCTCTTGTTGCTTAGGAGAGAAGATGACAGATGTTCACTGATAACTGAAGTGAAATGGCAACGTCTCAGCCTACAGGAAGAACAATGTGAGAAAAATGGAATCGTTGCTCTACTGCCCGAATATACGTATCTTTGAAAAGATTTCATGTTATGATGCATATCTACTTGCCAATACTCCATCTTGGGTCAAACAGCCTCTCTGTCTCACTTGGGAACCACAGGTTTGCACCAAACTGGGCTACAAACTGGATTCATGTTCTTCAGAATTTTTATTACTATAAATAAAGTTAATTTCTTTACATTGCCTATAAATATAGTACCCTTTTGCAGAGGTAGCAATATGGAACAGAGGAACAGGCATATGGGGTAAAATGGGAGTAATTATAATAAAGTACTTTTTGTACATAATAAAGGTGGTATTTCCAATTAGTAGGGAAAAGATATATTATGCCATAAATGATTTGGAGACAAAAGTTTAAGTCTTATAACAAATTTAATTTGGAGTGATTTAACACTTAAATGTTAAAAATTAAACCATACAAAATATGAAAAAGAGGACATTAAATAAATTTTTTTAAAAAGAAAGGTAGTTCCCACTATGACAAAACTTCTAGAAGTCATGAGAGGGAAGATAATTAGACTTCACAAAAATTTTAAACTTCTATATTCTAAAAATGACCATAAAATTAGAAATACAGCAACATGCTAGGTAAATTATTTACAACACATAAAATATAACAATAGTGTATATGTGATATTAGTAACCATGATATATAACACAGATAAAGAAAACAGCCAGAAGGAAATTGAGCCTATGAAGAGAATTCTTCATAGAATATTAAAGGCCAAAATCATTAGAAAAGAAGCTCAACATCAGATTCTTTTTAGTTATTTTTGATTACCTAATTAACATTGATCACAAAAGTTCCAGATATCCAGTAAGGATGTGAAACTGCAGGCCACTAGCCTGCAGAGGCAATATAAACAATCTATCTAGAGGCAATTTATCCATATCTGACAAAGTACATTTTGCTTCATCAATTCCATGTCTATGAAATTATCTAACGGCAACTAAAAGAATAATCACAGTGTGATCCAGCCATGCTATGGAATGCTACACTTCTGTTTCCTGGTACTACTACATATTTACCTGTTCTGAGCCAAGAATATGGAGCTGAATAGGTGGGATTTGGTTCTGAATCCATCATTTTCTTGTGAGCATTAGGCAAGGGGCATAAATTTTCTAAGCCTCACATTCCTCATCTGTACACTGGGGCACTTAGAACTCAGATTGCCGATTTGATATCAACAGGTACTTTTGTACAGGTTAAAAAAAAAATTAGCACAAGGCCCAGCACATAGGAAAGATACAATAAATAGTATTTATTAATATCATTATCCTCATCATCTTCATTATCATTAAGGCCAACAGTAGGGAAAAAGGAACAGAATGTGTTCAAATTATCTTCCCATTTTAAATTTATTTCAAAATGCAGGTTATATTGGAAGATACTTACACAAGGCTCTGTAGAGTGCACTGTGGATGTTTCAAGACATCACTCATAAGCTTTACTCCACCATCTCCCAAGGCGTTGTCTGCCAAGCACAAATGTGTCAGCCTTTCATTGCTGATGAGAGCCGAGGAGAGATCCTTGCAACCAACTGCTGTGAGGCCACAGCTTTCTAAGCTGAAGGAAAAACACAAATGGGAAGGGATCAGTCAAATCCCAAAGTTTATGCTTCTCTTCTTCACAGGGCAGTTAGCTGGTACTTACAACCCCTACACCTCAACTATAGACTCAGCCTCATCGAAGCTACTTAAATTACAGATTCCATTTCAGCTATATACAGGGTGTGATGACACACATGAGGATGGAAGAGGAAAAGTCTAGAGCAAATGAAAATTTCAAAAGTCAATCATAAGAAGCAGCATCTAAAGTCAAGGAAAAGAGGACTGGCAGGAGAGGGAGAAGCTCCTCTACGATTGACAAATGAGCCAATTTGTTTCAAGACCCAGGCAGTTTGCCCACTCACACTATAACTAAGCTTACAAGACAGAATAGGAAACAGAAAACAAAGCAAAAAGACTCACGACAGTCTCTCTAGGTGACACTTTGGATGCTTTAAGGCCTCACACAACAGCTCCACTCCATCATCCAATAGATTATTGGTCGACAGATTCAGAAATAGCAGGCTCTGGCTTCTGATGAGAGTGTTAGTGATATTCAGACAACAAAGTGTAGTTAGGTTGCAGGATTCCAAGCTGGAAAACAATATAGAAAACCCAAAATGACCCCTCCTGAGAGAAGAGTTATAACCACTGCTCACCCAGCCAGGGCATGTGGTCACGTGGATCTGGGCCTGTGGGACCTTTTCTGAAAATCCAGCTTACCTACATAGAATAAGGGTTGTTTAACTCAATCACAATGCTCTGATAGACAGTTAGGAAGGGGAGGGTGGGAAGCTTGTATTTTTTGTCCCCATGTCCCCAGTTTCCTAGGAAAATATGCATGAAAGTATTCAAAAATATTTTTAAATGATCACCATTTTTTGATCCAGAGGAATGTCGTCTAACTAAAACACAGATGGAAGTGGATTGCAGGAGGGCTGCGCCTCGCCCTCTTCCGCTTCAGAAGCAGAGGGGCAGGAGACTAGGAGCAAATGCTGTGACTCCCACTACTGTCTGCCAAGAGCTCATTTACAAATGGGAGTCAACCCACACTTTCTGAGGAACCCAGTCCTTAAGCATGAAAAGAAAAAGTAAATCAGAAGTAAAAGTTTCTAAAAAAATAAAGTAAAAGAAGGGAAAGAGAAGAATAAAAGAAGAGCCCCTATTTTTGAAGATATATTTAGAGACCACTTGTGCTCTGGGCTGGATGGGCCTGATACCAGCCAGCTATTTGTAAGAAGAGTCTAGCAGCAGCAGTGTTCCTGGAACATGGAGTTATTTTGGCTATTCCTTTTAATCAAGGACTTATTAACTCGAGTCCTTCGGGAATTGGTTCTCTTTATCAAAATCAGGGCATATAGAGGGACAGGATTAGATCTCAATGGACGACCTAGAACATGGCCTAGGGCTGCAAACATCAACTTGCCCTGAAAAGGTGCTATGGACTGAACAGTGCTCCCCAAAATTCATGTTGAAGCCCTAATTCCTAATGTGATTGTATTAGGAGACAGGGCCGTTAAAGAGGTAATTCAATGAAACAAGGTCACATGAGTGGACCCCTAATCCAATAGGACTGGTGTCCTTATAAGAAGACAGATTCCCGGACAGGATACCAAGAATGTGCAAACACTATAAAGGCCATGTGAGGACATAGTGAGAAGGCAGCTATCTGCAAACCAAGAAGCCTCACCAGAAGCCACCGGGCCACACCCTGCCTTTGAACTTCCAGCCTCCACAACTGTGAGAAATAAATTTCTGTTGTCTGAGCTACCAAGTCTGTGGTATTCTGTTATGGCAGCCGGAGTAGACTAATACTAAAGGGGTATTATATCAGCAGCCAAGCAGGCAGTTAGGGAAACAAAGGAAATCTCATACTTTGTGTTTGGAGAGAGCTCTTCTACACAGAAAAAGAACCCAATATTATGGAACCAATGGACAAATTATTAATGTTTAACAGAAAGAAAGCATTACTCTAATGGGACAGAAAATAGGCACATGTGTAACATGGTCAGTCAACTATCCATAGTTCTTAAAACATGAGGTCTAAAACAAACATAAAACCGAAAACTTTTCCGTATGAAATATCAATAGGAGATCTACAGGACTCTTTATTACTCACCCACAATAGGACAACATCCAATCCTACACAATGTAACATTTTATTATTACAAAGCTCTGATGATTTCTGCTACCAAAACATTCTATTCACTGGTACAAGGAGCCCTACTAGTGGGCCCAGAGATGGTTTTCTGTATAAAGCCTAGTAACTGGGCCTATATCAAGGTTTATCAAACCTCAACTGATGAAAGAGAACTTATCCAGTCCAGCTGCTCTGTTAAGTGCCACAGCATTTTGTCTTGGATCCACAGCTCCCAATGGAAGAAAATATCTTTCCCTCCACTTAACAGTTCTTTGCCACTAATATGTTTTACTTTTAGACAGAGGAACCAATGACCTACTTCTCACTTGGGTTCCAGACCAGAGGCTAAAGGTTATACGAAGTTTCTCAAAATGTCCTAAAACGAGTTCATAGATACTAAAACTAATACCCTAACCTGGCTTGCTGATAACGGAACTCAACCCTTGTTTAAGAATTATCTGGAGAATCCAAGATGGTGGAAGAATAAGTGTATGCAACAGTAACCTCCTCCAAAGGCCAATCTAGAATTACAACTAAATTGTAGAGAAATCATCCTGAATAACCAACTGAACACTAGCTGGAGAGAAGCCTTATAACCACAGACAAAATAAACCACTTCACCACAATGTGACTGGCAGTGAGTGCAGAGAAGGTGCGAGAGGACTGGCTGGACTCCTGCAGGCTGCAGCTGAAGTTCCAAAAAGGATAATTCAGGGGTCATGGGGTTCCCCCTGAAAACTGTGGGGTCTAAACCCCAAGCTGGGCTCCTCAGCCTACAGCACCAGGGTTGGAAAAGAATCCAGATAACATCCAGCTGTGAAAAGCAGCCAGGTTTCTATCTGCTAGGGAGAGATGGCTGGAGATGCAAAAAGCCTCTTAAAGGGCCAATGCACAAAATTTCATTCGCAGCCACTTACCCTGGGCTCCAGAAAAGGCAGGGCAGAGTGGACTCGAGGAGCATCTGGGATTGGTGGCTCTGGGGCGAAAACTGAAGTAACAGCCACCAGGTTCCTTGTGCTCAGTCCCTCCCCATGCCGCAGGAGCCATCTTTCTCAGGCAGAGCACTCCCCTCAGAATGGCATTGGGCTGAGGGAACACAATTCCCCACCCACAGGAATTACTCTGCACCACCCTGTTGTGCTTAAGCCTGACTGCTGATTATAGCTTGATTAGATTAACAACCAGTGAGTCTAGTGACTGATTAGTGTAGCAGCTAAGGCAGAACATACAAAGAGCAGCCAAAAGGAAGACAAACAGACCTTAAACAAAAGAACAAGAGAATTCTCCAGAAGAACTAGATGAAATGGAAGCAAGCAATTTACCAGTTTAGAGTAATGATTATAAGGAGAATCAAAAGCATGAAAAAAACATAGAAACCATAAAAAAAGGACCAGTCAGAAATAAATAATGCAATATCTGAAATAAATAATACACTGGAAGGAATAAACAGTAGATTAGATGAAGCAGAGGCTTGAATCAGTGTTCTGAAAGACAATGCAGAAAAAAAAACCACCCAGGCAGAGCAGCAAAAGGAAAAAACAATTTAAAAAATGAGTAGAGCTTAAGAAACATTTTGGGCAACATGAAGTATAACAACATCTGCATCATGGGAATACCAGAAGGAGAGCGAGCAAGGGATCAAGAACCTATTTGAAGGAATAATGACGGAAAACTTCCCTAATCTGGTGAAGAAAAAAGTCACACAAGTTCAGGAAGCTCAGAGGGTCCAAAACAAGTTGGACCCAAGGGACCTACACCAAGACATATCATAATTAAAATGACAAGAATTAAAGACAAGGAAAGAATCCTAAAAGCCACAAGAGAAAAGCCTGTAGTTACCTGCAAGGCAGCACCAATTAGACTGGTATCTGATTACTTAACAGAGACATTTCAGGCCAAAAGGGAGTAGCTTGAAATATTCTAGGTAATGAAAAGCAAGGACCTACAAGCAAGGTTACTTTACCCAACAAGGTTACTATTTAAAATGGAAGGAGGAATAAAGAGCTTCTCAGACAAGAAAAAGCTGAAGCAGTATGTTAACACTAAACCAGTACTACGACATATATTAAAAGGCTGGTGAAGAAGGAGCAGGAGGAGAAAGAGGAGAGGAAGAGAGGGGGAGGGGAAGGGGAGAATAGTAGGGTGAGGGGAAGGAAAAGAAGGAGAAAAAGAAAAAAAAAGTGGAAAACAATCTAACAATAAAATGGCACTACATACATATCTGTCAACAATCACTTTAAATGTAAATGGCTTAAATGCTCTGACCAAAAGATATAGGATAGCTGAATGGATAAGAAAACAAGACCCATATATATGCTGCCTCCAAGAGACCCACCTCAGATCAAAAGATACACAGACTAAAAGTAAAGGGTTGGAAAAAGATATTTCATGCAAATGAAAAAGAAGAAAAGCTGGGGTAACAATACTTGTAACCAACAAAATAGACTTTAAAACCAAGGCTATAGTAAGAGACAAAGAAGGACACTACATAATGATAAAGGGAATAATCTAACAAGAAGATATAACCCTGGTAAACATTTATGCACTCAACAGAGGAGCACCTAAATATGTAAAGCAAATCTTGGTGGGCATAAAGGGAGAGATCAACAGAAATACAGTTACAGTTGGGGATTTTAACACCTCATTGACTTCAATGGATAGATCTTCCAGGCAGGAAATCAACAAGGAGACAGTGGCCTTAAATGACACACTAGATCAAATGGATTTGATTGATATCTTCAGAGAATTTCACTCCAAAGCAGCAGACTATACATACTTTTCAAGTGCACATGGAATGTTTTCTAGGACAGATCACATGCTAGGACACAAAATAAGTCTTAATAAATTTAAGGAGACTGAAATTATATCAAGCATCTTCTCTGACCACAATGCTATGAAACTAGAAATCAATCACTAGAAGAACACTGAAAAACATGCAAAGACGTAGAAGCTGAATAACATGTTATTAAACACTGAATGAGTTAACAATGAGATCAAGGAAGAAATCAAAAGATACCTTGAAACAAATGAAAATGAGGACACAGCAATCCAGAATCTGTGGGGCACAGGGAAAGCATCCTAACAGAAATTTATGGCATTACAGTCCTATCTCAGAAAACAAGAAAAAACTCAAATAAACAATGTAACTTCACACTTAAAGGAACTTGAAAAAGAACAACAAACAAAGCCCAAAGTGAGTAGAAGGAAGGAAATAATAAAGATCGGGGAAGAAATAAATGAAAGAGAGTTTTACAAAATGATACAAAACATCAATGAATCCAAGGGCTGGTTCTTTGAAAAGATAAACAACATTGACAAAACTTTTAACCAGATGCATCAAGAAAAAAAAAGAGAAAGGACCTAAATAAATTAAATCAGAAATGAAAGAGAAGAAATAACAACTGACACCAAAGAAATACAAAGGATCGTAAGAAAATACTATGAACAATTATATGCTAACAAACTGGACAACCTGTACGAAATGGACAAATTCCTAGAAATATACAATATTCCAAAACTAAATCAGGGAGAATCTGAGAATCTGAATAAGCAGATTACACCTAATGAAACTGAAGCAGTAATCAAAAAACTTCCAACAAAAGTCCTGGACCAGATGGTTTCACAGGTGATTTTTACCAAACATTCCAGGAAGAACTAACACTTCTCCTCCTCAAACTCTTTCATAAAATTTAAGAGGATGGAAGTTTCCCAAACTCATTTTATGAGGCCAGTATTATCCTAATACCAAGATCAGAAAAAGGCACTACAAAGAAAGAAAAGTGTAGGCCAGTGGTGGACATAGATGCTAAAATCCTCAACAAAATATTAGCAAACAGAATATAGCAAAGCATCAAAAAGGTCATACACCATGATCAAGTGGGATTTATTCTGGGAATGCAAGGTTGGTACAACATTTGCAAATCAATAAACATGATTCATTGCATAAACAAAATGAAAGATAAAAACTACATGATCATATCAATAGATGCAGAAAAAGCTTTTGATAAAATCCAGCACCCATTTATGATCAAAACTCTCAAAAACTGGGATTAGAGGGGGCATACTTAAACAAAATAAAGGCCATATATGACAGACCCACTGCCAGCATCATACTCAATGGGCAAAAACTACAAATGTTCCCCATAATATCAGAAACAAGACAGGTATGTCCACTTTCATCTCTCTTATTCAACATAGTACTAGAAATCCTAGCCACTGCAATCAGACAAGAAGTAAAAGGCATCCCAATTGGAAAGGAAGAATTAAAACTGTCTTTGTTTGCAGATGACATGATACTGTATGTAGAAAACCCCAAAGATTCCACCAAGAAACTACCAGAACTGATAAATGAATTCAGCAAAATAGCAGGATAAAAAAATTAATATCCAGAAATCAGTTGTATTTTTATATGTCAATAATGAACTAACAGAAAGGGAAATTAAGAAAACAATTCCATTCACCACTGCTTCAAAAAGAATAAAATACCTAGGAATAAACCTAACCAAGGATGTAAAAGACCTGTACTCAGAAAATTATAAGACACTAAAGAAAGAAATTGAAGAAGATACAAATAAATGAAAGCACATACTGTGTTCATGGATAGGAAGAATTAATCATTAAAATGTCCATACTACCCAAAGCAATCTACAGATTCAGTGCAATTCCTATCAAGATTCCAATGATATATTTCATAGAACTAGAAAAAATATTTTAAAAATTTATATGGAACTACAATAGGCCCTGCAAAGCAACAGCTATCGTGAAAAAGAAGAGCAAAGTAGGAGGAGTCATGGCCATAGTAATCAAAACAGCCTGGTACTGGCATAAAAACAGACACATAGATTGATGGAACAGACAAGAGATCCCAGAAATAAACCTACACCTTTATAGGCAATTAATATTTAACAGAGGAAGCAAGCACATATAATTGGCTAAAGATAGTTTGCTTAATAAATGGTGTTGGGAAAATTGGACAGATACATGCAGAAAAATGAAACTAGACCACCTTCTTACACCACACACAAGAATAAATTCAAAATGGATCAAAGACTTAAATGTTCAACCAAAACCATATAAATCCTAGAAGAAAACACAGGTGGCAAAATCTCAAGACATTGCTTACAGAAATTTTTTATCACATATATCTCTCCAAGCAAGGGAAGCAAAAGAAAAAATAGACAAATGGGACTACATCAAACTAAAAAGATTTTGCAGAACAAAGGAAATCATCAACAAAATAAAAAGACAACCCACGGAATGGGAGAACATATTCGCCAAACACATCTGATAAGGGGTTAATATCCAAAATACTTACAAAGTACTTACGAAACTCAACACCAAAAAAACAAACAACCCAGTTAAAAAATGGGCAAGGGAACTGAATAGACACTTTTCCAAAGAGGACATACAGATGGCAAATAGACATATGAAAAGATGCTCAATGTCACTAATCATCAGAGAAATGTAAATTAAAACCACAATGAGATACGATCTCACATTGTCAGAATGGCTATCATCAATAAATCAGCAAACAACGAGTGCTGGGGAGGATGTGGAGAAAGGGGAACCCTTTTGCACTGTTGGTGGGAATGCAGACTGGTGCAGCCACTGTGGAAAGCAGTAAGGAGATATCTCAAAAAATTAAAAATGGATCTACCTTTTGACCCAGTGATCACACTTCTGGGAATATATCTGAAGGAACCTAAAACACTACTTCGAAAGAACATAAGCACCTCTATGTTCACTGCAGTGTTATTTACAATCTATAAGATATGGAAGCAGCCCAAGTGCCCACCTGTAGATGAATGGATAAAACAACTGTGGGACATTTACACAATGGAATTCTACTCAGCCTTAAAAAAGAAGAAAAGTTTAATTGCTACAGCACTGTCCCCAGTTACCATTGGTACATTCTTCCCTAAGTATTCAAAGATACAGGGAATACACACATTCCTTCATTTAAATATGAAAAAGCATAAATCTTTCTAAATTATGGATCTACTTTATTTTTCAAATTTAGGAGATGGCTACGCAGAGAACTTACTATGAGGGGTCTTCAGGGGTGGCGGCAGCAGGGGGGGATGGGAGGAATTAGAAGTCCTATCCGGAGGAAATCAGCCAGAATCTACTGATCCCCCACTACTCCATATCATGAAAATAGATTTAAACTAGCTGTATGAACAGCAATTCCAGGTTGGAAAGACAAAACTATCAATTGTAATAAAAAAAAAATCACTACTTACCTCAGATTCTGTAGTTTACAATCTGGGTGTCTCAGGGCTTCACAAAATGACTTTACTCCACTGTCACCTATATCACTTCCCTTGAGGTCTAGATGCCGCAGATGCTGGTTGTGAGTCAAAGAACTAGCGATATTCCAGTAACCATCAGGGAAAGAAAAAAATCTCAACCTTCAGAAGAAAAACATGCAGGAGGGATAAAAAAAAAATCATTTCTGTCCCTGGCTACAGCACCCCTTTCTTTTCAAACTCTATTCTTAGATATTATCTAAATATTCCTGCCATTTCTTATCCTACTTCGGGTTTTTCATATTCCAGATCAGGCCATAAACCCATTTCAGAATGTTCCTTGGGAAAACATTTGGGTTACAGCTTGGGTGTCCATTATATCCTGACAACTGATAGTCTCAATTATTTGGGGTGGGTGGGTGGGTGTGTGTGTGTGTATGAGAGAGAGAGAGAGAGAGAGAGAGAGAGAGAGAGAGAGAGAGACCTTGAAGGAAAAGAAGGTAATAATATCCCGAAAAGCAGAACAGGAATTTTTGAACTCTTAACCCCAGGAATGACTATCAAAAACTATTGAGACTATTCCAAATACTGCAATTATAACATTAATTCACAATATTTAATCCTTTAAATAACCGAAGGTGAGTTCACTGTTAGTATCAACTGTTTAATGTGCATCATTAGCAAAAGCATTATTGCAAAATATGCCCTATCATCTCATGGATCTGCCTGGAATGCCTTACCTCTGTGTTCTTCCTCATCTCGGAAATTCCTAATCAAGCCTCAGAAGCCCATGTTCTATGCAGGCTTTCCCAGAACAGGTTAGCTATGCTTCTACATCCCCAGAGCTTTCCGCTGTTTATGTTCTTAAGAGTATTTTACACAGTGAATTTTAAGTGTGTGTTTACTGTTGGTCTCCCCTAGTAAGTAGGAGTGGGAAGTGGGACAAAGAAAGAAATTGGAACTCTATTAAATTTTCTCATGCCAGACTTACAATAGTTTTTGTAGTTTACAGTATGGATGCCTTAGTTCTTGATAAAAAGTCTTCACTGCTAATTCATCAAGGTTGCTATGACACAGGTCCAATTCCTTCAAGTGTTCATTTGTATGAAGCACAGAACAGAGATCTTGCCAGCAATAATAAGCATCCCTTTGCCTACAAAATTGGGAAAAGACAAGACTAATGAATTTTATTTCAGCCCAGGCAACTCTCAGAAGATGGTAGTGGGTGGAACTAGGCGGACTTTGGAAATGGCGGGAGCATCCACTGCTCTCTGGTGTAGGCACAGTCCACAAAGAAGTCTTCCTCTTGGCACTCCAGAAGCTTTCTTTGCCCAAAAGCTCGCAGCACAACCCTGCAACACACTACTTCAACACACAGAATAAAAACTAGAGAAACTTCACTTGGGAGGAAGAGACTCAGGAAGGATGAGAGAAGTCTTCAAATATTGGAAGAGTCAATATCAAAAAGAAAAAAATAATCTATGACCACACAGAGTAAGATTAGGAACAGTGGCTACACATTAGGGAACCAGAGGTTTGAGTCCCAGTCCTAGCATTTACTAGCTAATAGTACTTTAAGCCACGTCACATTAATTCTGTGAGCTCAGAGTTTTCTTCATCTATAAAGTGGAAATGCCATCTCCCCTCACAGTGTTGTGAGCATTTAATAGTTAACTTTAGTTGGTACAGAAAAACACTTTGTAAATTTTAAAATGCTATATTATGTAATTATTAGGCATACTCTCAATAAAGCCATTATAAACAAATAAAAGGTAATACAAAATAAAAGAGAATATAACCTAGTGATTATAAGCATAAGCTCTAGGATGAAATAGTCCTGAGTCCCAAGTGCCACTCACTAAACTGGGTGATTCTGGCAACATTACTAACCCATGTGAGCCTCACCTTCTTTATCTTAAAAAAATGAATGTAATAGTATTTACTTGTAAGGATTGCTGTGGAAATTCAGCAATACAAGCTATAGAAAATGTTTAGAAAATGTTTCATATTTTAAATGCCCCTAACCAATTAGTAGCTATTTATATTAAAATATATGTAAGTCCAGCATGTTGCCTTATACATCATAGGTACTGTAGGGCAAGAAAAAAGTATTTCTTCCTCCCTCCTGTCCTCCTAGGTCCCCTACCTGGCGACCTGTAAAATTAGACCTAACAAGAGAAAAGCATACAAATTTTATTAGCATGTGCATCACGGATACACATGGGAAAAATTTAGTTGTGGGTAAGTCAAGGGGGTGATTAGAATTTGGGGTCTACAGCCTGGCCAGTGTGGTTCAGTTGGTTGCAACACTGTCCTGTAACTGAAAGACTGTGGGTTCGATCCCTCGTTAGGCACAGGTCTAGGTTACCATTTCGTGCAACTCCCAATCTGGACCCATACAGGAGGCAACCAATCGATGCTTCTCACCTCAATTCTCTCTCTCTTTTCCTTTCTCTCTAAAAGCAATGGGAAAAGAAATGTCCTGGGGTGAGAATAATAAAAAAAAAAGAACTTGGGGTATACATACCAAATTTATTAGGGGAAAGGCAAAGGAAGTAAGGGCACTTATGGAAAAACAAATAACTTTTTGGGAAGATAAGTTGGCCCCTAGGAGACTAGATGGGAGACACGATAGTTTATGGCAATGTCTGTCTGGGTGTAGTGCCAACTTCTGTCTCCAAGAAGAGATGAGAGTTGCTCTCAGGAAGAATTGCTGACACTTGAGTCCTTTCCGGAAGCTCTGCTTTTAGGCAGGTAGGGAATTTCAGGAACACAAACATCTTCCACTCAAAATAATTCTTAAAAAAGCAGCACATTTTGGAGTGGCATATCCTCATCCCCTTCACTATTTAATAAAAACTGGTTCCCCCCATACCTCACTTAAATTGGAATGAATGACATTGCAGAGTAGTGTCCCCTATTTCACCTGAGGTGTTAAGTTTGAGAAACTAGGCAATAAGTTATTCACCCAAACATTTAAGTGCTTACGATGTACAAATATTATGGATAAAATGGTGAACAAGATAGAAATCCTGCTCTTAAGTTTACAATGTAGTTAGGTTATAGAAGAGACCGAGGTCACCCATAATGTTCCTTTTAAAACAATGGGTTCTCAGACTCTTTTTAACAACAATGCCAACTCTAGTATTAGATAACACTACAACAGACGTGAGGGGAAAGTAGCATGAAGACTGGCTATATAGTAGCCAGAATGCCTTCCTACTATTTATTATTAGGCATAAAATACATTCTAATGCCCTGGGCTCAATTATGTCTTCTTTAAATAAAACTATGAAATCATAATCAAGAAAACTGACTGAAGATTATTTATGACTTCCCCAGAACAGTACAGTGTGGTCATAGCATTTCAGCCTACAAGTTCAGAGAGAAATGAAATGTATTTGTGTAAGAGGAATGCTGCAACTGTAAGTAACAGCAATGAGATAGTTTAGGTAGCTGGAAAACCAAGGAGTAGATGTGTGACCTCCTTCAAGTTATACACCTTCTTGGTACCTCCGTTTCTAACAACTAAAATGGAAACAGGAGCATCCACTTAGGATTTTTAGGAGACTAAGTGAGTTGCAACTTAGAAGACTATCAGGTATGTGTGAAGCAAATCTTAGCTATTATTTCATGTGTGCTTAAATCAATGATTGTACACTTACGTTCTATGTGAACTGCCCTGAACCTCAGTTTTCCAGTCTTAAAAATAAATTGAAATATGGTTTTGACCAGACTTCAATTGGATATGTTTCATATCTTGTGCACTCTATAAGACCTCAATGAATTTTAATTAAATCTAGAACTAATTCTATAGTTCAATTCTTCCTCCAGACTTAGTCAAAAAAGGCAACTTGAGGAAGGGGAGAAGGTAAATAATAAGCATAAAATGCTGAAGATTCATTTATTCTTTCAAAATACTCCTTTAGCACCTACTATTTCTTACATCTGACTCTCACCAGTTAGGTGTTAAAGGGCTGAGACTTTTCATACAAAGGCTGACCTATGCCCAGGCAATAGGGAAAGGGAGATAGGTCAGTATGTATACTAGGTCCCACAAGAAATTCCTGGCCCCTAGTCTTCTGGAGGGCATTGTTTTTGCAAGTTAAATAGATGTAGGATAGTGGAGGTAAGTTTGTGTTGTGCCACAAACTCCTTGAAGACTGAAGCACTTGTCCCCCAGCTGTTGGGTACGTACACAGTTGACAGCTCGTAGCCAAATCCCTCTAGTGGGATTACCCTCGAGTCAACGAGCCACTTCAGACAAGTTTTGCCCATTCCTTACCAGTAGCCGTGACTGGTCAACAGGGCTTCCTGTGCCTGGCCTCCTTTTCTCAAGGTAGGGCAATGCTGAAAGGTTATCCTGGCTCTGGGACCTCAGCTAAACAATTCCCCCCTGCCCCTGACAAAATCTACTTCCTTCACTCCTTCACAGGGCACTTCGGGGAAATGATCTAACACACTTACCAAGATTCAGCTGGGCGGCTTGAGTTTAACATCTTCTTCTCAAATACCTCAGTTACACACAGTTTAATGGTCCGTAAACACTGGCAACGCTTAAGGCAGAATGCAGACACAAGCAAATGGATTTTCCCACAAATATTAATGACAACCTTTTGGAAATATCTCATTGCCTGCCTTATAAACTCTTCATCTTGAGTTTCAAACAGACAGTGAAACAACTCCAGACATCCCAGCTGTGATGGGAAACAGTCACTGTTTCCTAATACTTCCATCCCCTGAAGAATCTTCTCTTTTATCTCCAGTGACATTTTACAGTTAAAAGTTTCCTCCAGTTGTTTTACTCGATCTTCATTCAAAAGGCCAAACAAAAAGCATTTCATCTGGGTCAAATGAGGGTCTTTATAACTGGTGCTTTCAAGTAACAACTTCAAGTCTGCAAAAGACTGAGAAGAATGGTCTGTGGGTCCCCAGCTGTCTTTCAATATATACAACAAAGCTGCAAAAAACTCCTGAATGTGTAGGTGGGTGAACTCATAGCAGTTTTCATAATCTGTGTCCTTCTGAAGAATATTCATGGCCAAGAAAACCGAGACATCAGATTTAGTTAAACCATGCTTTCTGAGGTTTTCCCTGTAAAACACATGTGTCATAGTGCATACTCCTTTGGCAGCAAGGTGGCACAGGCTCCTCAGTTGGGTTTGGTTGGGCAGACTAGGACAGCTTCCATCTACCTGAGTAAACAAGCCAGAGACATAGCAGGTAAACAGGGCCGTGGTGGTTTTGCAGATCAGTGTGATATCACCACCCTTCTCCATTTGCTCCTCCAGACAAGTACAAATGGCCCGGCACACCAGGGGGACTTTGCACATGCTAAAAAGCATCTCATTGTTTCTTAGTAAACTCAGTACTTGCAAGGCCCACTTCTTGTCTTCAAAAAACTGGTAAATATACTCCTCTCTTGCATCCTCAGACATACCTAGTAGTTCTACAGAACGCTGACTCTTCAACAAGGACTTTAGTTTCTTGCAAGCTGTGAGTCTTGTTGTCACCAATAAGGATGACTCAGGGAGCATCACTTTCCTCAGCAAACTACTCATGAGGAAGGACACTGGGTGTACCTGGGTCCAGTCTTCACACAGTGCAAACTCGGGTTCCTCAAAGGCGAAGTTCAGCTCATCAAAACTATCAATAATAAAAAGGAGACTATTTGGCTGGGACATAATCCTTTCAATAGGGCCTTCTGTGCTGGGCCAGTCTTTTGATATCATTTGAACAAAGCTTCTTTCTCTCCACTGGTTAATTTCTCTCGCATTAAAATAAAAAATATAGGTAAACTTCTGCTGGTAGAGATTGCCCTGGGACCAATCTAACATGGCCTTTCTCACCAAGGTGGTTTTCCCAACTCCAGCGGCCCCCTGAAGCACCACAGTCTGTGGCCGCTCACCGGTGTTGACATCCACATCGAACAAATGTTCCAAAAGTTCTCTACCTTCCTCAGCAATTTCATGATGGAAATCTTTAGGCTCTCCAAGCAAACACTTCTTGTCCCTCATGGGGCCAAACTGTTCCTGTATTTGAATTCTATATTCTGTTCCATCACCTAAGTTGGAGCAAAGCAAGAACAAAAGAAAGATACACATGATCAAAACAAATTCTATGATTTGCCATGTGCAGAATACTGGACTTGGACTTAGGAATAAGAAGTGATATAGGCTGAAATCAAAGCACAGCTGGTTTAGGTAAGAAAAAATATAAACAAAACAAAAATATTCCTGTAGATCTAAAACATACATTAGAAATTGAAAAAACAGAACTGGCGATACAGAAAAAGGAATTTGTGATGGAAAACAAAAATTAAATCCCTTCTAGAAAATATTTTCTCTCCTTTATAGTTTTCTTCGCAGAGAAAAAAAGTGGTATGTGTATAGAACAGTCACATCCATATTTAAAAGGAACACAGGCCACAATTAATAATGATAGCTAGAGAGGAACTGAAGACAGAGCTGAAACTACCTATCAAAATAATCCTCTTTATACAAGTAAAACATTAATAGGAATGAACATTGAAACATAGCCCGAAGAATATTTTTTTCATTTGTTTTTTATTGAATTTATTGGGGTGACACTGTTAAACATAATTATACAGAGAGAAGAAAAAAATTCCTAAGTGTCCAAATAGAATTAAACTATAATTTCATCTTTACTTAGTTAAGTCCAATTCCATCTTTAGATCTCAATTAAATGTCACTATCTCAGGAAGGAAGCCTTCTCTGAACCCTAGTACTAGAAGTTCTCTCTTTCACATATTCTCAAAAGAGTGTATTTTTATTCCATAACACATATCACAAGCTGTAATTATTTAATTTTTTAAAGTAAGTACAGTTGACCATTAAACAACACAGATTTGATCTGCATGGGTCCACATATACCTGGATTTTTTTCAATAAATGCACAGTTGGCCCTCCATATCCCTGGGTTTTGCATCCACAGAGGCAACCAACAGTGGACTGAAAACAGTATTTTTGATATGCGGTTGGGAATCTGTGGATGCGGAGGGCCGACTATGTGCACTGTTCCACACCATTTTACATGTGACTTGAGCATCCATGGAAGAGTCCTGGAACTACTTCCCCTCAGTTATAAGCCTGTCATTTTTTTTGTCTGTTCTACTAGGGTGCTCAGTACAAACATTTAACTTAGTTTATATCTCACTGAATTATGCTTAATTCCTCTCTAGGAGATCTTTTAGAACTAGGTACTCTGTATGGTATAATATGAAGTACAGTGCAGTACTTAAAAGAAATAAGGGTAATTTTTACTTTCCTTGTTTACTTTTAACTGTATCCAAATTTTCTAACAATAAATTTCTATGGAGATGGAACCCTGGTTTCTTAATTTTGTGGTCAATGATGTAGCACAAAAATAAACATACTTATATTGAATCAGAAATTAAGGTCAAAGTGGGAAGTCATCTTGAAGATCATTTAATATAATAAGCAATTTTTATTTATTAGTCCTTGAAATGAAGCAGGTTCTCGATTATTTCTTGACTGAAAGAGTGTGGCCTCTTAGAAAACAGCATAGCTGAGTTAAGAATAAAGCTCCTTCACCTTTTCCAGCTTTCTCTGAACTGCAAGTCCATTTATGTAAGCTAGAATTCAATTATACAGAATTCAAAACAAAGTAGAAGGAATGGAAATGGGATTGAACTAAGACTGAAAAGATCACATTCTAGGAATTACTTTTTATATGGGCCAGTCAGTCACCACCCTAGGAACTCAATTACAGCATCACTTCTAAAGGAAGGGAATAGATATGATAAGCCCAACAGTCCCTGCCAACTCAGGGACTCTTTAGTCCATACAACATAGACACGAATACACCTTGGTTTATTGGACTTTCATGTCTGATTGGGCATTCCCAAATACCATTCTCTTGAGGCCCTGAATCAACATGGCTCTGACTGTGACTTTGGCCAGAGAGCCAGTTTAGTTGAGCCTTTTTGAATGATAATCAGCAAACAGGTAGGATATTAGAAGTTAACGAGTTGAACAAAAGCCCCCTGGCAGATAAACCCCATCGTGCTGCAGAAGCTCAAACTCCTCCCAAATCGGACAAAAGCCCATCTACTTACCCTCGTGACTCTGGTCACCTTGTGCCTCTCCAGCCCTGGTGTCCTCTGGTCCCATGGTCTGGGCTGCCCCTGCAACAGGTTCCAACCTGCTGCATGATAATCAGCAAACAGACAGGATGTTAGAAGAAGTTAACAAGTTGAACAAAAGCCCCTGGCAGATAAACCCCATCGTGCTTCAGAAGCTCAAATGCCTCCCAAATCTGACAAAAGCCCATCTACTTACCCTACTGCCTCCTGGTCACCTTGTACCTCTCCAGCCCTGGTGTCCTCTGGTCCCACAGTATGGGCTGTCCCTGCAACAGGTTCCAACAGGATCATAAGATTACCAAAAACTAGGAGAGCTTTGGTAATGGCCAGAACAGGGGCCAGAATTGTCCTCAGTGGTCCAATTCTATGACCATGAGGGTTTAAGAAAACTAGAGTCAACACAGCCTCAGACTTCACCAGTTTAGCTGAGGGAAGAATGATATGATTGAACAACAGTGAAGTAGGAGACCTTTTGCGATGTCCCTCACCCTCACCACAGATCAAGTGGTCAAATCTAAGCCTAAGTTTCCTTGTCTGTATGGACCTCACAGTGATATGATAAGGCTCAAAGGAAATATGAATGAGGAATTCTAGATGTCCACCATATTTCATACTTGGGAATGACTAAAAATACTTGGCTCATGTCCCTTAATTATTTTTTTATCCATTCCTCATGTCAGCAAAGATTTAAATCATATTTAAGATTCCTTAAAACTTAGCCTAATTCTTATCACTCAGTTGCTTGAATCATGTTAATTGATACCAAATGAATGAATTACCCCCAATTAATGAGTCAGGCTGAGTAACAGAACTCAAAACACTCCTGCCTTTTCAGTATTTCTCAAATGATCCAACAAGCTCCCAATGTACTTGACCACCAGGGAGCTTGTTTTCCATAGAACAATTTAATCTCTAAATCCCTTTCATGGAATCATCCCAGGAAGCACCCCCGTCTCCCTCCCCCCAGATATATGTTCCTAGCATCACTCACGAGTGATCTCTGCTTTCACTCTTTCACACAGATCCTTCAGGTTCATCTTGTCAAAGATTTTGAGAGCCACATGCAAGGCCTGCTCTCCTGGGTAGTGCTTGTTCATCAAGTTAGCCAGGTCCTCCCGCTTGGCCTTCTTCACTTCAGCCCAGGGTATCACGCAGTACCCAGGCTCCATGGTCTCATTCTTAAGGAGGAACTTGAATTTATATAATTCCTCTTTGTTTAGCTCCTCCAAGCACAGTAGCAGCCCAAACTCAGAAAAGAAGGAAGACGACGACGAATCTGTCATCTTGTCCTTGGGTCAATATTCAGGCTTCAGTAGGGAAAAATAATTGGAATACATGGGACCTATGGAAAAGACTAGGAAATGAAATGCCTATAAAAATATAGATTAATTAAAAAAACACATTGAAGCTCATTATATTCTGCTCAGTGCTGACACAGTATCCTCTGTAATACATTTTTTATCATAAAAACACTCTTCCAATATAGGCCACTGTACATTTCTTCTACCTCCCTAAGAATTACTACTCCCAGTCCCATCATCTGTGAGCTGTAAGAAATAAAGACAATTCATCTCTCTGAGCCTTAGTTTCTCTGCAAAGTGAGACTATCAGAGGCAACCTCAGAGGACTGTGATATAAATTAAATCAGGGAGAGTGCCTGTATCATCTGGCACATAACAGGATCCTTTTAAGTACTGGCAACCTTCCTCATCACTTTTCTCCCTCACCAATATTCGACAGATCTCTCAGCCTATAAAACATTGCTAATGTATCCCAACCAAACACATCAATACTCTTGAAGCACATGCAACTGGAATACGCCATGATCTACCTCTTCTTGTCACGTCATCTCTGGTCACAAACCCACATGCAGTCACTGTGGGTCTGTGTTCCTAGCTCACAAGCTGTTTTCACCTCCACTCCCCATCACGATTCTGGCTGAATTCAAAGTTAAAGTCCATCTGTAACATCCCTCTCTCACGAACTTGCCCTTAATTCCCACGACCCCATTCTACTCCAGCATTTTATTCTGAGGCTCTCACTCCAGACTTTATCAACAACAACTACGCAACATCTTAAACTCCAAAGTCCCATAACCCGTTCTTTACTAGTAACTTTTGGTTTATGCCTTTACTCCCATTGTGACAGTTCTTCAAACACTACCAAATCCTAGTCTTCTGAGCCCTGTGTTTTCTTCTTATTTATCAGCCATTTTAGAACCTTATTCAATTTCCTATTCAGCATGGGTATTCTAGTTAATCACTTAAACCATATCTTCAAGTTCCTCATCTCCTTTTCAGTGATTTGCCTAAAGGGACAGAGTTTGTAAGTGGTACAGCTGGAACTTGACCTAGATCTTTCTCGAAACCCCTTTCTAGTCTTTCATAATTCCTCTCTCTATACTTGCCAATGAGATTGGAAAAGTTGCATGGGGAAATAAAAAAAATATATCACAGAGAGATTTTACTTCTTAAACAGAAGGTGAATTATCTCAAAATTATATAGTAAATCAGGATTCTATCCCACAGTCATTGGTGAGTTATCAGTTGTTTTGTGTGTGTATGTGGGGGTGGAGGGACAAGCTTGGTTTGTTTTTTAACTGCACTGTAGAATTATTGTATATTACAGACTAGGATCTAACCAAAACAGGTTTCATAGTAATTTTTTTTAAAAAGCAAAAGGAGTAAATTTGAGGAAGCTTCAAAGGAACACTGAAATTTCTCCAGGACATACACTAAGGTGGGGGAAAATGAGACATAGAACACCACACCCTCAAAATCCTGCCTAGAAATTCACAGATATCGCTGTGTGGGGGCCAATCCCTCCACTTGAGATCTGAATCTCCTCAGGATCCAATAACTAAGGGGCTTATTCTATTAGTGATCTCTATTCTCTATCTTCAACTTCTACCAGTCCTGTAAGCCTTTCTCATTAATGTTTAAACCTCCCAAGTCTACTTTAGTCTTTTACAAGCGTTCCCTTTACTCCCCATTCCCTTCATCCTCACGAACTTCTTCAGGGTTTTCTATACTTTACTAATTACACCTCCACAATCCACTGCAATCTAACTTCCATGACCAAACTCCCATTGAGATAAATCATATGGATTACTACCTTGTTGCAAAACCCAATAGGCATTCTTGGATTCAATTTCCATACCTGTAGGCAGGAAAAATAACAGTACCTTCCACTTAAGGATCAGACACTAATGCATGCACCTAATTTATAGGGTGCCATACATCTAATACTACTACTATAACAATGCCTTAATTCTTGATATTCTCTCTCCCCCTGCCTCTCATAATCCCCTGCCTCCTTCATCTTCCTCCTGCTTTTCTGTGTCTCTCTTTGAGCCAATATCCATATGATTCTAAATGGTATCCACAATTCTGATAGAAAGTAGAGTATACTCTGGCCTCCTTCCCAAAGGTTTTATGCTATACTTGACGGCATTTGTTTCGTTTTGTGGTCTTCCTCTATTTATATTTTTGGGAGGACAATAACAGATGTATAGTATTGCTCCTCTTATGGAAGATATTCATAAATTCAAAAATGTCCTAAACCAAAATGGGAACTCATGGTTTAGAAAGATGGCTTTCAATTCACAAGTTTATTAACATGAATTTTTACCACATATAATAATTAAAGCATGTTTGTTCAAAATAAATTAGTCATTCTGCACATGTTAATAATGCCCATATTTGTGGAGGATCTTCTGTGAAAAGTTCATTATGAAAATTGTTTTCTAGTCTTAAAAAGGTCCTGAAAGTTTGGTTTAATCCATATTTATAGGTTTAAGGACTTGGAAATTAAAATACTTGCCCAGAGTTGACAAGTAGCCTATAAAACTACAAAGCTCCTTCTCTTTCTACTAGGTACTTTTAATTTCACTTATTTTCCTAGGCACTGGGAATTCAGAGTTAAATGAAACCTGTGTGGCCATGATCTGTGATACCTGACTCTGTGCTGAACACTGGGCTAAGGAAAGAGAAACACCTCTGCATACATTGGGTTGGCCAAAAAGTCTGTATGTATTTTCCCATAAAAGAAAAAATTTTTCATTTTTACCAATAATTTTATTGATTTGGATATGTTAAATATGTTGCCTATCTCCCACTATTGGCGTCTAGTGGGTAGAGGCCAAGGGTGTGGCTAAACATCTCCCAATGAATAAGACAGCCCCCCAGCAAAGAATTATTTGGCCAAAACATCAGTAGCACCAAGAAACTGCAAACCACCTTTGACACATTCTCACAGCACTGTCTCCATACACTGCACAAATCTTTTTTCATATTTCAATTGCATTTTTACCTTTCTTGAAATAATAAAACATAATACACAGAAAATGTTGTATATCTTTTTCCATCTTCAATATTGAAATGGCTGCACAAAAATTCACCAATTTTGGTGTTTTTTTAAAAATGTACACTGATATGACAGCTGTCACAATGTAATTTAACAAAATTGTTTCAAATGAAGTAAAAGACATCTAAGTACTCCTAGAACCATTATATGGAAAAAACTAAGTGAACTTTTTGACCAACCCAATATAATTGCCATTTTCTGAGCTCTAGTAGGGCTAGGAGGAGGGATTCTTTTCTATAGAGTATAGGTATGAGAAGATCTTGGAGAAGTGACATTTTATCTAGGAAACAGGATATCCCTACCCTTTCATGTGTTCCTGTCTGATTTCCTTTCTTGGTTGGTCTAACAGAATCCCCTATAGCTGCTTCTCAACCTTGTGACTACTAACATTTTCTTGTGAGGTAATCCTTTATTTGGGGGATACTGTAAGTTCCCTGTATGATGTTTGGCACCATTCCTGGTGGGCCTATACCCACCAGACACTATTAGAACCCTTAATCTCCTGTTGTTGTGACAAACAGAATCTAGACATTGCCAAATGTCCCCTTGGTGGCAAACTGCCCCCACTGAAACCACTCCTAAAGCCTTACCCTTTACTACTGACTGTACAATTCATCAAATCCTTCTCTATTATATTACCATATAAATAAACAAAAAACAGAGTCGGAAGCCTGGAAAAAGGCATTCCCAAGAGATTTTAATGTAAAATAGAAGAAATACCCTAATTGGGAAGGGAAGCATTCAGTGCAGATTATTAAGACAACTTGTAAACTAGTCCAGTAAAAATTAATTAGTATCCTCATGGAGTAAACCTCAAATATAAATACTATCAATAAATCGTTAATACTTCAAACCAGAGGGGGAAAAAGAACAGAGAATATTCATCACACCTTAGGAGAGGAAAAAGTTACCAGCTTGGGCACAATAAGGGAAATGATCAAGAATCAGGATGAATATTAGGAGATATTTGTTAACTATGTTAAAATTAAAACTTCTTGTCCATAAGAATTCAAACACAAAAGTTAAACCAAAACCAGCAAAATGTTTACTGAAAATATGGCATATAGAGTTGAAGTACAAATTTTAAGTAAAACCACTTTAGAACTGTTGGCATTAACTACTAAAATTGGAGCTATGACCCCAGACCCAGATCTTGGTTTCCAACATCATCCTCCAATAAGAGGAACCAGGGCTCCTTGGAGAAGTGGCTGTTTCTGGGGCAGGGGGCGGAAGGGAATATTACAAGCTGAGCCCAGAGCGTCTTGTAACGCCAGAAAGTAAGGAAAAGAAAAGGGTGAGCCATGTCAAAAAGACACAGAAGCCAACCCAAAAGAGGTCCCAATGGTCTAAGTAAATATCATAGTATTGGATTATAACCCAAACGAGAAAGTATCCATGACCATTTGCTTATCCAGGTACATGGTCACCTACAGATCTCCATAGAACTCAGTTGCAATAGCGTCCCTGAGCAGGTGGTCAGCCAGCAACTGTTCTGTCTCGTAGCCTCTCGATTTTTGATAAAAATCAAGGAGGGTAGAAATATACATTTGAAGTCAGGAAAAGGGGCTATTTTCACACTTATGTAGATACATTTTTATATACTATGTTTGATAACATTCTTTCCATCATTCTATGTTGCCACCATCAAAAAATACATACGTATTTCCAAAGTGAAGAGTTCAGAACATGGGTCTGAATAGGAATATTGAATTTATAGGATGAGTAATTGTAAAAATTCAATGCTAGGTAATACCCAATTAATTCAACATTGGGGGTACTGATATACTAGTTGACAGTGTTTTTTAGTTAACATGTAGAAAATTTCTTAAAACAAGGCAACTTTTAATGAAAAGTAAAATAGCTTTTACTATATAAAATAGGTTGTGTTAAAATATGACATTTTATTGTTGAAAACTCA